TGTTTGTCAGCAACCTTGCTGCTGCGTTTTGTACCTGCTGAAGACTTGACAGCGAAGACTGGCTTAGACCCAGGTACAAAGCATTGCAGTAATCAAGATGTGAAGAAATAAAAGCATGGATTACTTTCTCCAGATCACTGAAAGATAAGACATGATTTGAGTTTAGCAATATTTCGCAGTTGATAGAAACTATTCTTCACAACTGAATTGATTTGTCTGTCAAACTTTAACTCTGTGTCAAAAATAAAACCATAATTCTTAACATAAGTGTGCATGTTGGATGACAAAGGATCTATACTCGTTGCTATATTTTTTGTCCAGTTACTAGTGCCAAATCAAATCATTTCTGTTTTTTTCTCATTTAACTGAAGAAAGTTATTATTCATCCAGCATTTTACGTCTTTCAGACATTCAATGATTGATTTACCGCATATAATTTCCAGACTTTATAGGCAAGTACATCTGTGTGTCATCAGCATAAAAGTGATACAAAATACTATGTTTCTTAAAAATAGAACCAAGAGGAAGCATATATAACAGAAATAACACTGGTCTCAGAATGGAACCTTGAGGGACCCCACATGTAATAGAAGCTATTGATGACGAGAAGTTTCCCATTTTAACAGAAAAGGGTTCTATTTTGAAGATAAGAGGCAAACCAACTTAGGGCAGTTCCTTGGATGCCCACGTGCTGCCTTAAATGTTAAATTAGGCTACATTGCTACCAGACTCAGTTTTTAATAAAAGGTCATTAGCTACCCTAAGAAGAGCTCATTCTGTGCTATGACCTGATCTAAAACCAGATTGAAATTGATCAAAAACCAATTTCTTTGTTAAAAATTAAGTAAGCTGACTAAAAACAATCTTTTCTAATATTTTAAATAAAAACGGTAGCTTAGATATTGGCCGAAAATTATTTGGATCTGTAGGACCTAGTCAAGACTTTAAGAAGAGGCTGGACAAACGCATGCTTAAAGGAACACTCCGACTTTTTGGGACTTTAGCCTATTCACCTTATCCCCCAGAGTTAGAAAAGTCCATACATACCTTTTTCATCTCCGTGCGTGCTATAAGTCTGTTTGACGCACCCACCGCTAGCCTAGCTTAGCACAAAGACTGGATGTAAATGGTTGCAGCTAGCATACTAATCCAAATAAGTGACAAAATAACGCAAACATGTTTCTATTTACATGTTGTGATTTGTATAATCACAGAGTGTACAAAAAACAAAGTCACATGAGACACAGACATATTTTAACCGTATAAATACTGGGAACTATATTCTCTGAAGGCGACTATATATTTTCTGAAGGCGAAACACTGCTACTTGGGCGGAGTGATAACTGCAGCACCTGAGACGCGCCGTGGTGAGGAGCAGAGAGCGCGTCTCAGGTGCTGCGGTTATCACTCCGCCCAAGAAGCAGTGCTTCGCCTTCAGAGAATATAGTTCCCAGTATTTATACGGTTAAAATATGTCTGTGTCTCATGTGACTTCGTTTTTTGTACACTCTGTGACTATACGAATCACAACATGTAAATAGGAAAATGTTTGCGTTATTTTGTCACTTATTTGGATTAGTATGCTAGCTGCAACCATTTACATCCAGTCTTTGTGCTAAGCTAGGCTAGCGGTGGGTGCGTCCAGTGGCGGAGCCAGGATTTTTTCATAGGGGTGGCCAGGTAGGGGCCAGCAAACAGTCTGGGGTGGCACATAAATCTTAATTATTTTAACATAATACTTAGTTTAAATAATGTATTGGACTGTTCCTACACAACTGAATACAGTTCATTTGTATTCAATTGTAATTGAGAGAGTAGTGAATTAGGAATCGTGGAATACTGAGTGAATTAGATTTTTTTTTAATTATTATTAGCTACTTACCACCTCCAGGCATATTAATGAAGGGGACACAAACTATAGCTAAAGTTCTTTAATCATATAGTAAACTTGCTCAGTTAGCATGGTTCTGGTTCTCAAAACCCCCAACATTGTTGCACCTTCATGGATGAGACATGCAGATAACTACTGTAGTTCAAAGATAATACCCTTCATTGAATTTTATATAATCAATTAACTCTTCAACTTTCTATATTAGTAGTCAAAATAAAGAATCTAAACCGTTCTATCATACCTAATTAAAAAGGGGGGAAACATCTCTTTTGAATCGCTATGTGCGAGAATGTGAACAAGGCGGAAGTCAACATGCACATAAATGGCAGAATGTAAAATTAGTTATTTTATGGATTTAAAAATTATGCATTTTATTTTGTCCTTTACAAATGAACGCAAAATTGCCGCCTATCTTCTAGTACAAATGCACAGTGCTCACATTTATTTGTACATTAAAAAAACACATAGCCTATCAGTTTGTGCCTTAAACATGGCAGAATATTTTAGTCTAGACATATGTGACGCATATATAACAAATACATACAAGCATGCAGTTTTGACACAGATTTGATCGCCTTTTTGATTATTTCATGAGTTAATTGACGACAGAACTACGGCTACAGCACGCCACATTTACGCGTGATGTGCAAGTAGGCTACAGTACAACGTCTGACAGGACAGTAAAAAGTTAGTTTAACTGACATTAGCCAACTGATTCAGGACAACGCGCTTTTCTCCGCATCTGACAGAACTGCCACAAGCTTTCACACAGATCTTTCAAAATAAAAGTAGAACCAGAAAAAAAGAGAATTACGTTGTTGTTTCTTTGACTGGACATATGCGACTCACTCAAAACGATCTTGCAACCCACCAGTTCAGGAACATCGACTCTATATTTACTATGCTCCGATCACTGCTGAAGCTTATTCGGCACCTGTACATTTCCGCACTCGTTTGACTTGCGCTGAGGTGAAGTTGGAGTGCGCGCGCGTCTGAAAAGTCTCACGTTTATTGTGGACGTAAGATGTTCTGTGTTTTAAAAACGCAATTCTTGTAAAAAAAGGAAAGAAAAAAAAGAGACAGACAGAAACGGCAGTTGTGAGAGGGGTGGCCAAAGGGGTGGCCAAGCTTAAGCCAAGGGTGGCCATGGCCACCCCTGGCCACCCCCTGGCTCCGCCACTGGGTGCGTCAGAAAGAGTTACAGCACGCACGGAGATGAAAAAGGTATGTATGGACTTATCTAACTCTGGGGGATAAGGTGAATAGGCTAAAGTTTCAAAAAGTCGGAGTGTTCCTTTAAGGCTCGAAGGAACACAACCACTTGTCAGACTGCAATTTATAATAGAGAGAATGCTTGGTCCAATAGTATAAATGAGCTTGACAAACAGTTTGGGGAGAAGCACATCACTCGATGAGGAAGTAGGTTTTAAATGTGCAAAAACATCCCTAATAAATGAGAGAGAAACTGGTTTAAATTTACATCAATTATAAGACACAGAGGTTTATATGGAAGTAATATCGGATTTAGATGGTGTAAATTAGATTAGTTATTAGTTTTATATTTATATCTTGGTGTGAATGGGCCTGTACAATAATGCACTATATGTATTTTTAGTTATACACGTATAACCATACTCCTATTTAAAATGTTTTATAAATATTATTAATATTATAAATATTTATATTTACTTAAATAGGTAAATAACCCAGGAGAAATAGGTAATTATGTAAGCATTATTTCTCACTTGAAAGAAATTGCTTTGAGGAAATGATGTTTAGAACCACTTTATCCACAGGGATACTTCACCAAAATTAAGTCATCATTAGGTGGTTTACCTAATGTTTGTTTAACCCATTTGGTTTTTTCCTTCTTCCTTCTTTCTGTCATTCTTGTGTGTATCCTCACACAAAGCTATTTTATGACTTTAGAAGACTTGGAATATAGTGTGATAGGCTGCTTTTATTATTGTTTTTGTAGATAATGAGTAGAATATGAATTGTTGTCCTTTTAAAATTATGGACTGTAGTGTGGTCAGTACTGAACTAAATTTGACCAACAGTAAAAATCACAAACACAGATCTGAGAGAGCTTAGCAGCATTCACACACGTAAACACTTTTTTTTTTTTATTATTATTTTTTTTTTTTTACTTTTGTTTACGGTAACATGTTGCTTGTGCAGTATGATGGTGTTTGTGGCTAAGTGTGTTTCGTCTCCATTACTTGCATAAACAGCTGTATGTGTTTGTGTATGATCCTCCCTCCTTGGTACATCAGGGATGGGCCTCACACAGGGAAAACACCCATATCTGCATGTGTACACCGCAATCTTCACAGACCGCACGCACAGCCAAATGTTTTGCCTACCACAAACTGTTTTCAGAAGGAGAAGGAGGGGCTTTATTTTCCATTTAGAATCATGTAACTGATGTACATATGTGTGTGTTTTTTAGAGGCTCTTCTTCTCTTTCCCTTCTTTGACTCCACCCACAACAGAGAATCCGAGCAGGTGCATCTGCTTTTGTGTCATTGATGTGTCTTTTCTGTGGCTTACATCAACACGTAACATCAACTTAAATTTATTAATGTTTCATACATTTAAAAATGTAATTATAAATGTTTTTCATTATTTATGTTTTCCTTAATGTCCATTAAAAGGTCCATTATGTATTTTGAGCTAAAGCAGTCATAATATTGTTTTTAATGACCCTTTTCTTCCTCCTTTGAATCTTAGAATTAAATGGACCATTTGACTAAAGTGATCAAGAAAAATTTATTTCAGCCACTCTTTCCTAATATTGATGTTCATTTTCCTACATAATGTTCAAAAGTATTCTGAAGAGAAAGACTGGAGTGAATGGACGGTCGAATGGTTTTATGATTGTTTTTGTCTTTTTGGAGCTTGACAGCCCCAGTCCCCATTCACTTGCATTGTATGTAAAAGCAGCTTGGACACTCTGTTCAAAGTATCAAAGAAAAGTGTGATTTCTTATGGTTTGACTCCTTTAAAATTAATTATAACAACGATAACGCTCATATATTGTGCAACATTCATAATGAATCCTTACATGTCTCTCATTCCCCCCTTTTTTAATTTCTTATCTTATTAGAGAGTTACTGGAACAAGTAGCTGAGTTTGAGAAGACTGATTTCAAACCCAACAGCAAGGTGAGCTCATTGCAGGTCTGGACAGGAGACATGTCTCTGATAAGTGTAGTCAGTTATTAAGTTGTTTTGTTTGTAGCAGCCTGCACAAAATTCACACATTTTGCAGGTTAAAGTGTGACATGTACGCCTTTTGTCGTTCTTGATTGTCATGGCTTGTGATGTTCTTAAGAACAGCTTTTCATGCTAGTCTGATGATAACAGCAAATATAAACAGTCAAAACATAACTTCCCTTAACATCTTGTAGCCATATAACTTTAGTTTCTGTCATGGTCATGAGTTCAAATGAAAAATTCCATGAAATGCATTGTTTATTTAGCAAATTTAGAAGTACATTAGATGAGCATATTTAAGGCTTCAAAGCTAATGAACCACATTGCTAATGCTAAATACAATTTAGATTTCACGTGTCCTAAATAAACAAAGACAAAAACAAGGACTATATTTTAAGAATGCTTCTCCATGGTAAGCTACTACCTTCAACATCTTTGTGTGCTTTTAGGTAAATCAGGAGTCCAGTAAGCCAAAATTAGCACCGTTGAATGAAGGAGGTGTCTCTGAACTACTCCAGAAGGTAATTGTTTATTAAATTGGAACAAGTACACATGTACTGTAAAGAAATAAACACTAACAGAGAAAGTCTTTAACTTTTTAATTTTAGGAGATTTCCAGACTACAAGAGGACAATGACAAATTGAAAGCTAGACTCAGAACTTTGGAATCTCAGGTAAAGAAATTATGAAAGTAATAATAGTAAAAACCCAGAATGTCTTAGTATATTGGTAAACGTGATACATACTGTGGCACCAGAAAGTATTTGCACCCTAAACAACATTGTTTTCTCATATAAAACCCAACAGACAAATTTTTGTGAAATGTTTTGCTTTAAAATTGAGCATGTGCTGTGTTTCTTTAAAATAAAAGCCACTTGGTCTGATATGTTGTATCTAATGCCATGCCATTCAGACTTTTTTAATTGTGGCTTAAATGTCCAAATAGTTTTGGGCACCACTTTATAGTACATTATAATCTCTCATGCCTTTATAATGATTGCTTTCTAGGCCATGAGTGCTCTAGATGACAAGTCCAAAGCAGAGAGAGCCTTGAAAGCCCTTCAAAAAAGCCAAGGAGATCATCAGGTATAAAATATACCACACACTTAGCCAAGTTGGCAATTTTAGCCTTCAGCTTCATTATCGGTAGACCTATACTTTATTGTTTTGCAAATATATCATGTGACATGGATTTGATTCCATAGTAGACATTTGGATTGTGTTTGAGCCTTTGTCAATGCCCCTGTGAACACACAGAAAGTGATTTCTCTTCGTTGGCAATATGATTTCTCATATTTTGTTTATAAGATTTTATTTCTTACCATTTCCGTTATGACTTTCTGTTTGGCTTCATGGGAACTTTTTGGTATGTGCTGTTTTATTTATTTATTTGTATCTGTCACGTGCATAGTACTATATGTGTTGTAAAGTTTTTTTTGTAAAGTTTAGAACAGCAGTAAAATTGACAAAATATTTACAGACCTTTTTTTCGTTGGTAGTTTGCAATGTGTGCTCAGGAGATCGCAAATCTGGAAGGCACAGTTGCATCAATGCAGGCTGACTTTGAAAAGACCCTGAATGCCAATGTTGCTTCTCAGAAAGACTTGCAAGACAGCCTGGTATCCGCTAAACATGACCTACTCCGTGTCCAGGAGCAACTTTCCCTTGCTGAGAAGGTATTAAGGCCACCTGCACGTTGCAAATTCTGATTCAGCGCTGAAACGCTTATCAGACACTAATCTGAATTCTGACCTGACTGTTCACACTGAAATCACAATGCAAAAATCAGATACCATATTCAGTATATTTCCACATATGAATGAAATCAGGGCCCGTATTTATCAAGCCTCTGAGAATTACTCCCAAGAACACTGCTAAGAATTGATTTAAGAGTAAAAATATTCTTGGCTCAAAGCTGCGCTTAAAAGTTAGTTATCAAGCATCTCAGTCGTAATTTATGTGAAGTGTAGGACTAAATCTTAAGTGTCAGTCTTAGAGATGATTCACGAGACTTTGCTGTGCCACAAACAGGATTTTGGATGACGACATTGGCATGGACCAATCACTGAATAGATTTCCTTATTTAAGAATATTCTTAGATAAATTCATATTGAATGGTGAAATTCTTAAGAGGAGTTTACACACATTTGACAATAAATAATTTTCAAGAGAATACATAATGATATACCAACCCGATCACATGAATGCGTCTATAGCACGCATTGTGTTTATCATGCAATTTTTACGCAAAAATTAGTTTTTACGTTCATATGATACGTACTGTTAACCCCTTGGGTAGGATTAGTGGTGTGGGGTACGTGCGTATTATTACGTTTGCGTAGGATTATTGGTGTGGGGTACGTGGGTATTACACGCCATAAAGTGCGTATCACATTTTCGCTTATAAATTGCACGGTATATAAACAATTTCGTTTGATTAACTGCTTGTCGTCAAACATTCAAAACATTCTTCCTCTCCTGAAAGATTCGCGCACGTCTCTGTCTCCTCAGTGCCATCAAAAGCCCCTACTGGCAACTCCTAACCACTTGAGAGACCTCTCGAGCTGTCTTAAATAACTGGGAGAGTAAGAGTGATTCTTTGCTTTAAGAAATTTGATAACTTGCTTTTATACTTAAGTTTGAAAGTAGGAGTAAATTTCATGAATTCTCAGCAGTTAAGACTAAAATGGTACTTTGAGAAGCTTGATAAATACTGATTGGAAATTTGATTCAGGTTTACTTTGGCTACTCACCTTAAAAAACAGATGACAGTAAAAAAATCAGCTTCAGTCTGAACCATAATCTTTTAAGTTTCACCCAATTAATTAATTTATTCTGACAATAATACATTTTAATATATATAAATGTAATTATATATGATTATAATTATTATACATAATTACACATTATTGTTTAATATTTATATTTTTTATAACTTACAATAAACACAAAAGAGGAAACGTAATGTCCAAGGTTTTTTTCCTCATCTTTCCTAGAGGAATACAGCTTGACACTGCTGTCAAATTCTTGTTTTTAGGTCCCACATACTTTATTTTCAAATAAGTATAAAGCTGTGCATTTTTTTTCATTGTTTTCTATTTTTTATGAATAAATTAATCTACTAGAACTTTTATCTGCTACCACAAGGACATAACCTATAAAACATTTTGTAGATTATAACATCTTGTAGGAAATATTGGTAATACTTTTGATAAGATTTTTTTTTTTTGTAATTGTAAGTTATAAAAAATATTCAAGAACTTTGAAGGTATGGTAAATCGGTGGTTCATAGGTTCACAAATCAGTGAAGCTTTATGTGTTTGATAATACATTTTGTGTTTATTTACCAATTAAGGACCTGGAAAAGAAATTTCAGCAGACGGCTGCATACCGCAACATGAAGGAGATTCTCACTAAAAAGAATGAACATATTAAAGATCTGAGAAAGAGACTACAAAGGTATAATTTCACTTCGGATGTTATGACCATCACTGATATGTCATAAAACTAATTTGTTTTAAATCCAATATTTTTGTGAATTTGTTGCATTATATTCTCTTCACAGGTATGAATCAGATGAGTGAACATTTAACCCACAGGACACATATGAGGAGGTCAACAGAGGGACTTTTAATGCATATTAAAGGAAGTGGTCATTTTTTGTTTAAAAAAGGTATACATTTCAAAAAGGCAAAGGACCAAAGTATGATCAACAAAAATGAGCTGAGATTCTTACACAGCTCTATGCCTTCTTATGTAATTCCTCATCGGCGAGAGGATCACTACTTATCAGCTACAACTTGTTGTACAATTTAATGGTTTACAATAGTTTAGAAATTGTATTCAGACGTGACACAACAATTGCTTAGTTATTTATCACCGGTTCTCTCTGTATTCTTCATTGTCTGCGGCTAGCTACCTGAGAGGTGCTTTTTGCAAGTACTTTCATGTTTTTGGACAGAAGATTGTGGGTTCACGTTGCTAAAGAGGAAACGTAATGTCCAAGGCTTTGTTCTCATCTTTCCTAGAGGAATACAGCTTGACTCTGCTGTCAAATTCTTGTTTTTAGGTCCAACATACTTTATTTTCAAATAAGTATATAGCTGTGCATTTTTTTTCATTGTTTTCAATCTACCAGAACCTTTATCTGCTACCACAAGGACATAACCTATACAAAAGTTTGTAGATTATAACATCTTGTAGGAAATATTGGTAACACTTTTGATGAAATTGTGTATATATAATTAAGAATAGTTAATTATTTTTGTTTTATTTGCCTGGCTATAGTTAGATACTTCATTTAAAATATGTTTATTCCCATTCTGACTCACAGTGAGGCACTAGTCCACATACTTTGTTTTGACACTTGCTCCTCAAATTACTTTGGAATCTTTTAAGATATTTTGTAAACTCAGAGACCAGTAAAACTTATCTACATATTAACACTACAGGCCAATTAGAAGCTGAATGCAGTCTTTACATCACTGGAGACACCAGTACTTTTGAATATTTCCTGTATTGCACATTAATTGTATATTTAAATGCTATCCACAGTATATTTTTGTAAGACCTGTGTCCTTTCCCCTTCCATCAGTAAGGATCACTGTAACAGCGGTGTAGGAGTGATATTAACATTTCTAGTGATGTAATAGTGTGAAATGCAATGGTTCACTTGAGCTCATAAAGTTTGCTTTTGCAGCATTTTTTGTCTGATTTATGATTATTTATCATCAGTTACTACTTTAGCAGTTGTTTGTAGACCTGGCAGTTACTAGTTGTAATTATCTGAATAAACAATTCACAGTAAATTTCACTATCACTTTTAGTTTAAATAAGGGGATATTTATATGGCATATTCAGGTGAACAAACACTCATCACATGCATTATTTCATATTTATTATTAATCTGTTTATTTAAGTTTATTACATTTATTTAAACATGCATCATTAATTCAGGACGCAGCTGTGGGTCACTTTGACATGCCTTACCAATCCGCCACGCATGCCGTGGGACATGGGCTGAGTTTAGCTCTATTCCCTGGAATGAGATACTCTGAGTGGGATGCAGTACGCTCTTCAGAATCAGAAAGCTTTATTGCCAAGTAAGTTTACAACAAACAAGGAATTTGTTCTGGCCCATTAGTGCAACGATTTGTACATAAGTCATAAACAAAACGAACAATACCTACGATAAATTACTAAAGAGATGTAACCAAAAAATATGTAAGGTGCAGTTATCTAGTGAGGGTTCTGTGTGAGTGCGGGGAGCAGGCTATAGTCTGTTTGGTTCCAGGGTCATGGTCCTGAGGCCTACAGCTGTAGGAAAGAAGCTGTTCTTGTGGCGTGAGGTTTTGGTCCTGATAGACCTCAACCTTCTGCCAGAGGGGAGAGTTCTGAATAGTCCATTTCCAGGGTGAGAGGGATCAGCCTGGATCTTTGCTGCTCGCCTCAGCAACCTGGAGGTATGTAGAGCGCATAGAGACGGCAGATTGCAGCCAATGACCCGCTCTGCAGAGCGGATGATGCGCTGCAGCCTGGTCTTGTCCTTGACAGTGGCTGCAGCATACCAGACGGTGATGTAGTGAGGTCAGGATGGACTCGATGGCAGTGTAGAAGTGCACCAGCATAGTCTTTGGCAGGTTAAACTTTTTAAGCTGCCGCAAGAAGTACATCCTCTGTTGTGCTTTCTTTGTGAAAGTGGTGATGTTCAGCTCCCACTTGAGGTCCTGGGTGATGGTGATGCCCAGGAAGCGAAAGGACTCCACAGAGTTGACTGGGGAGCCCCCCAGGACGATGGGACAAAGGGCTGCTGGGCTTCTCCTAAAGTCTACTATCATCTCCACTGTCTTTTGTGAGTTGAGCTCCAAGTTGTTCAGACTGCACCAGGACACCAGATGATCAATCTCCTCCATGTAGGCGGACTCGTCTCCATCAGAGAGGAGTCTAATGAGGGTGGTGTCATCTGCAATCATCAAAAGCTTGACAGCGTGGTGACTGGAAGTGCAGCTTTTGGTATTCAGGGAAAAGATTAGGAGGGACAGGACACAGCCTTGAGGAGAGCCGGTGCTGATGGTCAGGGGGTCCGACAAGTGCTTACCCAGCGACACGTGTTGCCTCCTGTTGGACAGGAAGTCTGTGATCCACCTGCATGTGGACTCGGGCACTCCCAGTTGGGAGAGCTTGACTTGGAGCAGAGCAGGAATTATGGTGTTAAATGCGGAGCTGAAGTCCACAAATAATATTCTGGCATAGGTTCCAGGGGAGTCAAGATGTTGGAGGATGAAGTGGAGAGCCATGTTGACCGCGTCATCTACAGACCTGTTGGCTCTGTAGGCAAACTGCAGTGAGTCTAGTAGTGGGTCAGTGATGGACTTGAGGTGGGACAGCACAAGGCGCTCAAATGACTTCATAACCACTGAGGTCAGGGCAATGGGTCTATAATCATTTAGTCCAGTGATCTTAGACTTTTTGGGGACTAGGATGATGGTGGATGATTTGAAGCAGGCTGGAACACAGCATGGTCTCCAGTGAGGTGTTAAACTGTCAGTAAACACAGCAGAGAGATGATCTGCACAGTGCTTCAGAGTTGATGGGGTGACACCATCAGGCCTTGCTGCTTTTCTGGGATTCTGTCTCTTGAATAGACTATTGACATCCCCTTTCAGGATTGAAAGTGCATTGTGTTGGCAGGGGTGGTGTTAATTGAGATGTGTGATTGCAAATGGGCCCCAATGATGGGGGGCTGAACACACCCGAAAAAGGTATGTTGTCAGGACTTCCCTTTTGTCTTTCAAATCTGCAGTGGAACTCATTCAGGTCATTAGCAAGTCGCAGGTCGTTAGTGGATTGGGGAGATTTAGGTTTATAGCAGGTGATCTGTTGAAGGCCCTTCCAAACCGAAGCAGAGTCGTTGGCTGAGAGCTGTTGTTTTAATTTCTCTCCATCTGGCCCTTAGCTTCCTTCACTGCCTTACCAAAGCTGTATTTTGCCTCTCTGAACCTATCCCTATACCCGCTCCTGTACGCCTCCTCCTTGTCCAAGTTTAGCTGTGAGCCAGGGTTTATTATTATTATAGCTCACCCTGGTCTGTGATTAGGGTTGGGTATCGGTTGGGTTTTATCCGATACCAGTACCTACTCGGTATTTTTTAAACGGTTCCGGTGCCTAAACGGTTCTTGAAACGGTACTTAAGAAAACGAAACCGCACACACTTTATCAAAAAATAATACCCTTTTATTTACAGGGCCAAACTGGACACAATATTAACTTAAATCTTTAAACAATATAAATACAAATAATAATAAAACCAATATAAAATAAAAATTCACATTTACATAATATCAAATAAAACAAAATTGTATCAAACAATGTAATAATACTGAAGATTAATAGAGATTACTAGCAGGCAGAGCTGCCAAATCTCACGCATTGACCGTGAGACTCACGCAAATGACCCTTTTCACACGCTCTCACGCACGCCACACATGCATTTTCTCACGCAGAGAAAAACTGCGGACAAAGAGGACACTGACACCGACAGACAGGTTACTTTTGATATGGAACAAATCCACAGCTGTCAGATTCTGTCAATATTTTTACGAGATTCACACAATAAATAACGTTTTGGCTCTTTGAAATGTGACAGATCGCTGTAGCGCGTCAGTTCAAAAGGCACGTGATACAGCAGCCTACAAATACAAATCCACTGCTTCTTAGCTACGCAGCGTTGAGTGAACCTACGAAAGAGAACATCTCTGCTTACTGGTGTAACCTATGTTCTCTCAATAGGGAACGAGACGCTGCCAAGCTCCTCGCCCTGCCGACCAGCTTCTTTTTTCGGCAAAGAAATCTGAGGAGCAGATGGCGCGCGCGCGCCAACATAATATGACGACGTAAGTGCGGCAATGAATTGGCTTGATTCTATATGGATTCAGACTGTCGGCACACCCAGAGGGCGTTCTGACGCGTAATTTCACACGTGTGCAGCCAAACCTTGCGAGCAAGAGCGCGCATGCGAGACAGAAGAGACTGTGCGTGTGTGTGTGTGTGTGTGTGCGCGTGTTTGCCTAATTAAGTCAGGCACCGAAATCAGGCACCGAAATTGTCGTTCTTATTCGGTCTGGTTACTACCGTTTACGTCGGAACCGGTTCCCTATTGGTACAGAGTTTCGGTACCCAACCCTATCTGTGATGGTATGCAGCTATCCTTGCAAAAGCTATTTTTTGTGTATTGATTACAAGCCCTAAACACCTGAGGTGCTTGAGTAGTTTGAATTTGTGGCTGTGTAACACACTCTTGGAATGGGTTTATGACCAGCCAATCATCCAGGTGATGTCATATAATAGGATGGCGGAGGTGACATCGGCTCCCTTGTCATACCTATTACTAGGAGGGGTGGATCTACAGGGGGGGAAGGGGGGGCGGGGGCAGGTGCCCCCCCACTCTAGAGCCTTGCCCCCCCCCCCAGCTGCCCCCCTAACTTTGATGATCCCAAAACTGTAGGCTACTTGTAAAAACAACCCGCAAGCTTCTCAAAACAGTGAACTAAACGATACATTTACCAAAAGTGAAAAATTAAATTTTTATTAAAGCCCCTCCCCCTCAAATACTTAGTACGTCCTTGATTCAAACGTGCAGAGCGGCGTTCGCTCAGTCTGGCTCACACACACAGCAAGTCTGCTGCGGTGCGCTGGCCCTGCAACCCGACTGGAGAGACTGAGCTGCCCCAGAGCCTCTGAAGGTGAAGTGAGTTTCCCCAGGTGTAGTTAAACACACGTTTAACTTAGTTACATTTGTAATGAATGTATTGTATGCTAAAGACGATTCAGCATCAGCAAAAGCGAGTCTGTTACGTTAGCCAAAATCAGCGGTCAAAACGCTCCCTCGTGATTTGTAAGAGCACTCTTCCCTTTGATTTGCCTAATTTTGATTTTAGTAAAGACAAGAACAGCTTAATAAAAAATATAAATTGTTTGTATCCATAACGTTTACTGATGGTCGCCGTTACGCCGACGTTACGTTACAACACACAATACAGTGCCAGTTAGGAGATCAATCATTTGATTAGCTAAGCAAATCCAATTCCTCTCAGGTATCACAGCAATGCAACCAGTCTTACAAC